GGTTTCCTGCGAAGCTTCTGCAGATGACTGTTGGAAGGGAAGATGCTCTTTAACAGTAACCTTTTGCCTTCTAAATAGTTATCCAAGTTAATGTTTCTGTTTAGATTTAAAAGCTATGATTACAACAACCAGCAAAGCCCAGGACGCTCTGGTTCAGGAAGAAGCTGGTTTTGACGGCACAGAAGATGTCTTTACTATCTATCATTAGCAAATCTCTGGCTCTGTGTGTGCTTAAACCACCTTCGCTCTTTTCGTCTTATCCGTGGGGTTCAGATTACCTTCCAAAAACAGAACCTGTCACGAAGTTGTTCTCTGGGAAGCCATTGCTGTCAACAGCTTTTCATAACAGCCATGCAATCATTGTGTCTTCCTGGATAAAGAGTGTGTCATTTAGGAAAGCAGGAAACCTGAAGTTCATTCTAGATTTTCAGAAATGAAGCAGGCCAGATAACTCCCTGGCCACTACTGAACTCATTCATCTTTTGGGAGGAGACATTACCTCTGGAACACATGGACATACAGAATGCCTCTACTTCTGTAGCATGCTCCAAAGTTCTGACTTGGTACAGCTGTTAGAGCCTTGCTTCAATACATTAGGCTGCCATTTTGCAGTAAGTTTGGTTCTTAATATAAGGCTTGTTGTTTTTTAGTCTTTTAAAATAAATAGTGGAGAATTCAGGGCAAATTATATGCTGTCAGGAATTTCTTTTAAGTTGGTGTGTATTTACAAGCTATCAAATAGTCTCACCTGCCTTTTTTCCTTGTTAAAAACACTTCTAAAATTTACTGATGTGACTCCATGGCTTTCCAATTGTATGACCATGGAAAAGTTAATCTGTCTGAGCTCAGTTCCCCTAGCTGTAAAATGATACCTAATACCTACCTTTGCCAGGTATTTATTAAATAAAACATGCCTGACTCTCAGCAGGTGATCGTAGTGCCAAGTCCCCGCCTACCACAGTTAGAGCATTCAAATTATCCAGATATTTTGGTGAATGCTGGCATTGTGTTTTAAGGCTACTTAGCAACATTTGGGAATGGCTCCAGAGGGGACTGTAGGTATATTTATCCCCGCCCTACCTTACCTTGCCAAACTCCCGCCATCCCACACACACACAAAAAACTGTGTCTCTGGTCAAATACTAACAGATACAGAGAGTAGTCAGTATTTTGCTTTGTCTAGGTAAATGTCACATGGAACTTTCTGGGTCTACTGTTTGTGTTTGTGGTTTTATCATTCACCTCTATGCCATGTGCACCTGTTTGGGGCAGGAGGATGGTGAGCTAGCCTCCCAATACACTGTGCTTTCCCCTCATGGGCAAAAAGATGATCTCTGGGGACCTATTTGCCTTTTAAGTGATCATTTAAATTATCTGGGGCATTTAATTTGCACTGTAGAAGTACTGGCCCATCATTCTTTTTCATTATATTTCTATAGTAGTAAAACACCTTGAAAGTTTTCTGTTTGTGGACTTTGTTCCTCTTTAAGCCAGACAAATAGAATAGAAGTATTCTGGCCTTAAAATGCTTATTTTCCTCCTTTCCTATCCTAAGATCAAGAAAACCCTTTTTTCCCACTGGATTCTAAATACAGCCTCTGGCCGTCTTTGGTAAGAAACAGGCTTTGTAGCTAAGGATCAAAAGGAAGGGGAGAGTGGGAAGTGCCTTTGCCTTACTGTGGCTCTTGTTTCCCTGAGTACATCCAATTATGCAACTTGCATTTACTTCTCAAGAAAAAGAGGAAACTAGTCAGTCTCAGGCCCTGGCCAGGCCCTTGTATTATCTCCTTTAATCCCCACAGCAGGGATGACCCCTAGCCCACAGATAAAGAAATGGGCCATAGTGAGAGGCCTCAGAGGACAGGTCAGGACAGGACAGCGAGTGGAAGAGAAGTCCAGGCTCTTTGGACTGTAAAACTTGCTCCGTCTCTGACTCCCTGCCTCCTTTGAGTCCCGTGAGCGAATGTCTCCTTGTGAGAGGAAGCCTGGCCTGGTCTGGACGTTCGTGGTTTCGACAGTCCCAGCTCCACTGACTGACTTGGATAAGTTACTTCACCTTTTTGTGCCTCAGTTTCCTCACTTGTGATGTGGGAATAAAACAGTATCCACATCACAGAACTGTTGTGAGGCACAGAGTAAGTGCTCAAAAGGTAGCATTTCTGATCAGTATGGTTTATATTAGCACAAGAGACTCTCTGATCTCCCGTTGCTAGAGGGCCCAGGAAGGTCCTGTTCCTGGGGAGGCCTGGCCAGGGGCTCCAGGGACACGAGTGCTGACCCTCACAGCCCCTGAACCTTTTGTGCTCCCTGTTTTCTTTGCATGTAAGATGAGACCTGGGAGAAATGATTGCTGTTTAGTGTCCCAGATGTCTAAAAAATGTCTCTGCCTGCTAGCAAAGAAGTGGAAAAGCTTTCAGAAATGTAATGTTTAGCTGTTGGGAGGCATCATCATCTGAAAACCCACTTGTCAAACAGGAGAGGTAAATGATCTCAAAGCTGTAGTGATGATCAGTAAGAAAGCAGGACTTTTCAGAAGCACGTGTGCAGTGTTCTGTGTTCTGCATACAGCTTGCTGCCCTGTAGCTTTATCCTGCACTGAGGCCCTAGCGCACCTGCCTTGGAGATGCAGACCATGGCTCCCAGGGGCCGCTCAGCTGGGGGTAAGTGAGGACCTCGAACCTGTCATCCCTGGAAGAGTCACTTGTACGTGCAGCCTCTGATGGTCAGAGGATCTTTGTGGGCAGAATGCAGGCAGAACCTCCCTAGTGGACCCCTAGTGGTAAGGGCTGACTGTCACAAGGAGGGTCTACTGTTGCTGGGTGTGCTGAGCCCCAGCTTCAGGAGAGACGGGCCTGGATGAGATAGTCCCCCCCCCCCACATTTCTCCCTGAACTGTTTACTTTGGAGTGTATTTCCTCCCAAGGAATGACATTTTCCTATACAGCCAAAATACCACCATCAAAATCAGGAAACTAACATTGACACCCTGTGTAACCTGCAGACACCATACTGACCTTTGTAAAAAGGATCCAGTTTAGAATCACCTGTGACACTTCACTGTCACACCTCTTAGTGTCCTTAAGCCTGGAGCAGTTGTTTGTTTTTTCCTTGATTTTGTGACCTGACACTTGGAAAGATTGCTGGCCTGTGGTTTGGAGGTTGTGCCTCACCTTGGGTTTGTCTGGTGTTTTCTCATGACCAGATTTGGGTGATGTGTCTTGGGCAGGAGTATCACAGGGTGATGCCACATCCTCCTCATGGCCTCCCTCAGGTGGTGCATGGTCTTAACTTGTCCCTATGTGATGTTTACTTTGGCCTCTGGGCTGGAGTGGTGTCTGCCAGTCTTCTCCACTGTAAAGTCAGTCTTCCCCCATTGGAATTGATAGGCACTCTGTGGGAGGTGCTTGGAATTCTGTGATATCTGGTTCCTCGCCCAGTGTTATTTGTTTCTGTCCGTGTGGACTTGTGATTTCATGGTATTTGGTGGGTGGCACTCTGAGACTGTCAGAGTCGATTACTCTCATGCTCAGATCGTCCCTGGCTTGGCTGGCAGGAGCCTCCTCAGGCCAGCATCTGTGCCCTACCTGAGCATGTTGCCCCCGAGCACATCCTTACTTTCGGGTGCAAAAGATGTTTCAGGCTCATGTTGTCCTTTATCCCCGCCCCAACCCTGCAATCAGCCGTTTCTCCAAGGAGCCCTGGTTCCTTTCAGAGGAGAATGGTGTTCAGCAGCCAGATTCTGGCACTGAGTATGCTTATTGCTGTTGGGCTATTGCTGCTCCCTGGCCCTCCTCCAGACGGTGCACGGGAGAGGGAGGCGTGTGAGTGCATGTGTACACACACACACACACATGTTCACATCTGTCTGTGGAAAACTATGTATTCACACCTAAACCTCTGATTTCTGCCTGGTGCTAGGGGTTAACTCATGTTTTCTCGTTTTCTATACTCGTAACTCCCTTCACTCAGAAAGGAAACCTGGCTCCCATTATTCCTAATGTGCTGACTTGATTATTAAATCCCCTTGGATGTAACCAGTCTCCCAAAGTGGAAGCCACCCTTGTCGCTCCTCCGGGACCCTTACCTGTGCGCCACCTTGCACCCTCACTGCTGAGATACCTTCCCTGCTCAGCTTGAGGACGGAACTGTTTGAGGATGAAGGGCTCAACTTGTTTCTCAAGGGAGCCAAAAGCGGACTTCCTGGGCCTGCTCCCGAGGGCCCGGAGTCTGTTCTTGTCCTGCACTGGCATCCTCCGGCCTCTCAGCGAACCCCTCACTACAGCTGCCTGCGGTGCGTCTGGCTGTAGCAGACCTGTTTCTTTGAGGAACCCATTTACAGCCTCGAATTCATTTAGAATTAGAGTATTTTTCAGAGTGTTCTAACCACGTTTACACTTAGCTTTCAACTCTTTAAAAGTACTCTGGGTGCTTTTCTGTATAGTTACTTCCTTTTTCTCAAAAAACGTGTAGCCTTAGGTAGAAAGATGAGCACAGAATTACCAGTAAGTTAGAAACACGTGAAGAGGGACAGCAGTTTACAGCTGTTTGGAAGTTAGCATTTAACTTGCACTTGGGGATTATAAAGCAAATATGTCCTACTGAGAGACACAGAACTGGAACTCTCCACTGTGTCATAAAACTGGGAGAAGAAGTGAAGCAGGCATTTGTGGCTATGGGCTGTCTCCTGGCTCCACCCGGGCAGAATTCTGGAAGTCCTTTCTGAGTCATGAGACAGCAGCAACTGCCTGCAGGTGCCCTGCCACTCGTTCAGATGCAAGTGCTTTGCCATGAGGTTCAATGTTTAGCAATTTCAAACAATATTGGGAAAAGCTGCCATATAGAAATCCTAAAATCATCTCTCCCCATCATATTTTCTGCTTGATTTATGTAAGTGATCAAAAATGTCACAAATTGCCTCTGTGCTGCTGTATATCATGGCTCCCAGCCTGGCTGGTTTGCTTTTTATTCACCTTCTGTTTCTCCGATGTTCCCTTGTGCAGAACACATACACCAATGCGGATAAATTACTAGAAGCGGCAGAACAGCTGGCTCAGACTGGGGAATGTGACCCAGAAGAGATTTACCAGGCTGCCCATCAGCTTGAAGACCGGATACAAGATTTCGTTCGGCGTGTTGAGCAGCGAAAGATCCTGCTGGACATGTCAGTGTCCTTTCACACCCACGTAAAAGAGGTGAGGCATCAGGAACGTAACCCTTGGGCTGGAGGGGTCTTTGAACTCTTTGGAAGAAATTTGAGTGTGGTCATACTAGGAGGAAGTGGACAAAAGATGACAAGTTATGAGGTGTAGCTCTCTAGTGCCCCGCGCGTCTTTGTGGACAAGGAAGAGCTGGATGTGTGCTGGCCTTGTCTGGCTGCCTGTCCTGGGGGTGTCTGTAAAGAGAAAACTCATGAGGGTTGGCATGGCAGGGGAGAGGTGTGGATCTGGAGGTGAGCAGGGAAAACAAGGGACTGAACGAGATCCTTCAACCTTGGAAGGAGACAGAGCAAGTCCATTTCGTATAAATAGAGGACCTGCACATTATTGGTCAGACCTGTTGGGTTTCCTTTCTGTGTGTTGGCCTGTCATGCAGCTACAGTCAAGATTGCTGCCTGATTAGATGAGGCTACTCTCAGATACTAATAAAAGTGAGTATTATGTAATATTGAGTTTAAATCAACCAAAACCAACATGGTATGAATAATTTTAAAACTAATGTCATAGGTATGCTTTTGTTAATAAATTTATCTCATGATAAGAGATAATGTGTGTGAAAAATAGGTAGGTATTAATTATACCTTGCGTATATATGTTATTCATGACGGAAATCATATAATGTTACATTGAGGAAACTACTGTGTAGCTGTTGAAGAAAAAAAGGAATTATACTAAAAATTAAAGTTCTCAGGGTGACTACAGATTGAGTAAGGATGTCACCATACTGCATCTTATTTCTGTTTAACGAGAAAAAATTACCTGCTTCAGGAAGGATCACAGTATGTTATGATATATAGGACTACTGATGAAAAATGGGAGATCGTAAGGCCTGGATTGCCTTGTTTAAAGGCACCAGAGATCAGGAACCAATATATGAACTTAAAGGAGAGGAACTCCACCACCAGTTATGGATCTTGGGCAGTTAGTCCTCAGTCAAGTCACTTGGAACTTGACTGTTTGGACTACAGGAAAACCACGCTCCCTTCCCTCTGAAACTCTGTGCGTCCATGAAGAGAGTGTGGGGAGAGTATTTACCTAGCTGCTGGAACCTCAAGAGTTTGTGCTCAGCCCTGCCTGGGCTGGCAGCCAGAGCTCCGTTCTGCAGAGGGGCTGGTGCTTGGCGGGCCTGTGATGGTCAGAATAGAAACCTGGCAAAAGTAGCATCCTTGCCTGCTCTTAATAATGCCATAACCGAAAAAGGACTTGAAAATATTTACAAAGAGGCTATTTTTTCCAAGGAGACATGTTAATTGGACATTCTTCCGCGGCAGTTTCTGGTTATCGATGCACGTAGCACTAGGCTGTGAGCTCCTCACTCATCCTGAGCCGAGCCATGGTCACTTCTGCGCTCCCTGCCTCTGGCGTCTCCTTGCGCCAGCCTCCCTGCAGCACTGCTGCCAGAGTTGTTTTTCTAAAATGTAAATTTTACTAGATCATTTCCCTGCTTTTCAACATCAGTGATCCTTCTTGTACCTGGGGCCAGCCCGAATGTCCCCACATCCAGTCTGGACCATATTTTTCCTTCCGGCCCCATCTTGTACTGCATCCTCCTCTCCCAGCTCCTCTCTCCCTCAACAGTGTCCCCAGATTTCTGAGGTTCCCTCTGACACCTTTGAGACTGCGACTTGCTGCCTCCCTTCTCTTCCCCAGGCAGAGTTAGCCGCTCTTTCCAGCACCTTCTCGAGCTCTCCCTCCACGCCCGTTACAGCACTTGTCATGCCCTATTAGGTTGTATGCTGCTCTCTGTTTACTGTTAGTGTTAGTATTTAGCTTCTCTGTATTTTTATACCCTTGCTGAGAGGGAGGGAGCAGGTTAAAGGTGATTGGTGTATAAGAGCATGCTGTGCCTTAGTTCATTAAGCAGTGACATAGGCGGAAAACAGGCCAGGAGCACAGAGCAGCCTGGACCCGCCAGAGGGCCAGGGCCTGGCAGGAACGTCCAGTCTGTGGGTTCCTCACTCAGGCCACAGGGTGCCATTGCCCTGGATGCCACAGGTGTCATGGGAGAGGAAGGGAGGGTGGCCGGCAGCTGGGCAGCAGCCGTCAAACCAAATGGAGAGAAAGGGGCACAGGGCAGACAGCCTCGCACCTGTAGCACATTCTGGAGCCAGGTGCCGAGCAATATTCTTTAGGAGCTTAGCAGTCTAAGGTCAGGATTTAACTTCCTTTTAAGACACAAAACTCTTTCCATGAAGTAGTGTTTATGATTTAGATCACAATCTCTTCCACTATGTGATAGTTGTCAAAAAGCAGGCCCTGAAGGAAAGCATTTTGCAAAAGCTGTTCTCCACAGACTCCATTTGGGTTTATTGGTTTTTGTGATATCAACAGCATTTTTTAAGGAAAATTATCATAGTAAAAGAATTCCACATGGAGTTTATATTGTCATCAGGCTTGGAAATTATTTTAAAATGAAAATACATTTTGTTTTCATTGACTTACACTGTAGGAACTTGGGGTATCTATGAGTTTGTAAACTAAGGAGACCTTAAATCAATTTTAAGGTCAGGTTAAATGGTTAAGTGGTTAACCATAAATCAGGTTAAGTGGTTCACATTTACAATTGGGGAATTTTCAGTGCATTCATCCTTTCCTTTTCATATGAAAGGTTATCACAAGACAGGCACACGCCTGTAATCCCAGTGCTTTGGGAAGCCGAGGCAGAGAAGATCGCTTGAGGCCAAGAGTTCGAGACCAGCCTAAGCAACATAGTGAGAACCCGTCTCTACAAAAAATAGAAAATTTAGCCAGGCAGGGTGGCCCACACCTGTAGTCCCAGCTGCTCAGGGGGCTGAGGCAGGAGGATCGCTTGAGCCCAAGAATTTGAGGTTGCTGTGAGCTGTGATTGTGCCACTGCCCAGGCAAGAGAGCAAGACCCTGTCTCAAAAAATATATAAATAAATAGAAAGAAAGAAAGAAAAGAAAAGTTATCATAGTAGTGGAAAAACTAGTATGGTATGTTTACCCTGATTTGCTGCTGCTTAAATGTGTGTGACTCTAGTGACCTGGAACCAAGGAGCGATTCGGAGCCCCGTTGGAAGTGCGTAGTGGGACGTGCACACGTGCTGGTGGAAGTCTGAGCACAGACATTCAGGGAAGCTGCCCGTAGGCTGGAATGCCGCCCGGTTCTTCCCTTCATGTGCTTGGACTTCATTTTTAGCCCCAGCCATTTTCTCAGTAGACTTATCTTTTCCTGACCAGCCCCCAAATTCTCTTCCGTGTTCTTTCTCTGTACTGCATGAAAGCCCTAAAACCCCCAGGAATATTTGGTAGGTTTTATGCAGGAAAGAACAGTTTCTTCAGTTGTTGTGTTTTGAAACTTAGAACCAGTTTAATGAGTTTAAAACAAAATTAATAGTGAGACACGAGCCAAGAGGAGGATATCATACTTTTTAGGTGTTTGCTTTAAGTAACTGAATGTATTAACATATTAGATAAATGAAAAAATTGCTAAAATATATTATGTAAATGAGTTTTTCTCAAGCATGTCATACCACTTAAAATTACATAGCGGAAGACAGAAAAAGCAGCTTGTCTTTTTCATTTAGGCAAATTCATGGAGCTTTTTAGAAGTTACCTGTCAAGGGCTGTCCGCCATACAAGTTAACCTTCCTCGCTGCCAGGTGTTCTGCACGGTTGTGTTTCTCACTTCATCCAGAGTGTAGTTGGCACCCTCTCTTTTTTGCAGTACATTTCTGGCTCTCTGATGAACAAGCAATACCAAGGTGATATAACAACTCACTTTAAGAAGGTGCCAGGGCAAGCTGATGTGTGCTCAGCGTTAGCTCAGGAATCTCTAAGAATCCCACCTGGCAGAGGGTCGTGGTTGGAAGTCTGGCCCTTAGATGCTGCAGACAGATACCCCTGACCTCTGTTACCATGGAGGGCGGAACAGGGAATGCTGTTCCTGGGAAGAGTGGAAAGGGAAATGTCTTCACACACAGGGCACATATTTTCTCCCTTGAGGTTGGATGCAGCACGTGGTTGATAGCAATGTCATCCTCAGTTTCCCACTCAAACCAGATTTAGAAGTATTCCAGGACCCCGTTTCCTCTAAAAAGAATCATGAGATGCTTAATCTCCTTTCAGAAGGCTTACAGACTGGTGTTTTGGCCTGTGTTTTTTTTGTTTGTTTGTTTTAAATATTTAAAAGGAATATGGCTGGCCTAACATAAACTTGGGGAGGATTTTTATCCTTCTTCCTCTTGCCCTCCACCTCTCAGGCCCCTTCGGCATATTCCCTTTGGTCACTGGTAGCATTGGTTCACATCAGCTGTGTGTATAATTCTCCCACTGTTTGTCCTCTATTTACTGTCCCTCTTTCCTTGTGAATCCATTTTCACTGTTCATTCATTCATTCGCTCACTTTTTACTCATTCCCAAGTGTGTCCACAGCCAACTGCAACGTGCAAGGAGATGACACCAAAGTGAGTGACCAAAGGAACAACGCACTTCTGCTTTTGTGTGTGTCACACATTTTAGACATTTGTTTATTCCTTTCTTTTGATAGACTTTAAGTTCCTTGAAGCCCAGGGCCATGTCTCACGTTATCTTTGTTCTCACTAGTTAGCCTACTTCCCAGAGCTGGCAGATACTCAGTAAAAGTTTGTGTGATAAATGATGTCTATTTCTAGCACATCATTCTGAGATTTAATGATAGATTTAGTGATTGAATGATATTTCTATTTTCAAATATAGCAAAAGCGTAACTATTTTCATCCATTCATACTCATTCAACTTCATTCTCAAAATTAGGTCCTGAGCTAACTGATAATTACACTTGATATTTGTGGGTTATTTGAGGCAACCAGGTGGTGGCATTGAGCTCTCCACCAGAGTTTGTTTCTGGAATCGATTGAGTGGCCTTGCATTGAATTTTGTTCCCTGAAGCCATGGTTTCCCAGGAAAGATCATTCCCATTTGAATTGGGCTGTGATTCTTGGTGGGTTAAGTAAAGAAGCCTCTTGGTTCTGTTT